CAGAAGAGCCTCCCCCAGCCTGTGTGCAGTCCTCGGTGGAGCGCAGCAGCTCCCTTCCCCCCGCAGCATTTCTGCCTGCCGCTCGCTCTAATTTCATGTGCATTGTCCCCACTGCTGCCGCCACCATCCCCTGCGCACCCCTCTGTGTGCCGCACAGCCAGGTTCCCTGCGCCCTGGCGCCCGCGCCCTGCATCACCGCCCCACGAACGTCCCTGCATACATCCCAGCTCATTTCACTGATGCTCTGCACTCCCCTCCGCAGCTCCTTGCAGAGACCTGTGTCCCACCCCAGCGTGCTCGCCCCACCATGCCCCCTGTGTGGGTGCGAGCTGAGGGGTGGGACGGAGACGGCTGGGCCAGGCTGGGCCGGCACAGGGCACAGGGACAGATGCAGGGCTGTGGATTACAGCTGCGGCAGTTGTTGTTCTAAGGTGCCTGCTGGCTGTTCTCATCCCCAAGAGAAACGTCCCAGCCCGGCGGTGTGGCAGCATCCATGGGAAGGGCACTGAGGGGCTCCGACAATGGGTATTGGGGAGCGCCTTGCAGCCCCACAAGTGGAAAATCACCCTGCTGGGTGCCAGTAGCATGGGCTGGGGGCTGCAGCGTGCAAGGCCCTCTCGGCACGTGTGGCCTGCATGCAGGCAGCATGCGTGTACCCACAGGGTGTCACGGCGTATGTGCCTGCGCAGCTGTATGTGTGCACCACGCTGCGTGTCTAGCTGTGCATGTCATGCATGCGTATCTATGCGCACACATGCATGTACAGGTGCATGTGTGCAGCGTGCTGGCATGCTGGCAGGCCTGCCTGCTTCTGCCGGTGGGCGTGCACGTGCTCAGGGCCAGGGCCGGGCCCATGTGTGCTGGCACACTGGGTTTGCGGCCCCAGGGAGCCAGTGTGCCCAGCACCATTCGCAGTCTTGGCATGCTCGAGATGGCTTCCTGCCAGCGTTTGTGTTCTGTACCTGCCGGTCGCAGGGAGGGCGTTGGGAGCCAGCTTGCAGAGTTTGTGCTAATAATTACCCAGGTGGTTACTAAATCTGGGATGAGCTAAGGACTCAGCAGAGGAGGTGCTTGCCCTGAGCACACACACACATGTGCAAGGCTGCAGCCAGGCACCGGGGCTCTGGGCCACCAGCAAACAGAGCACACCTGCAGCTCTGGGGTGCACGAGGACACATGAGCGCAGCATTGCACATGTGTGACAGTCACACTGGCCTCCCAGCCCCGGTAGGCATCCCAGCCTCCCCATGGTGAACATAGAGAGCAGTGGCAGTTCCTGCCCCACGGCAGTGCCCCACAGCGGGTCCCCTGTGCCCAGACACCATCATGCTGGCCGTGGGGACCCTGCAGCAGGCAGCCGCGCAGCAAGCCCAGTGCTCAGCCAGGCACCCTGCGAGAGGGGGTCATCGGAAATTAAATCAAGGGGTACTTGATGGCCACATGGAAGCACCTTCGTGGGAGACAATCACTGGGACTGGAGAGCTCTCGAATCTAGCAGGGGGAGAAGAACCAGGAGCAACAGGCAGAAGCTGTAGCCAGACATGTTCGAATGAGAAATAAGGGTTTTAGCAGGGCAGGTGATTAGCCACTCGAAGCAGCCCGAATGGTGCGAGCTCCTGTGGCTCTGCTGTCTCCCAGCATGTCTCTCCTGGTGCCTCCTGCCGTCTCTCCTGGTGGCCGCAGCCCCAGGCTCTGTGCTGGGGCACCTGTGAATGTGCTCCACTGGGGTGACCTGGTAGCCTTGTGCCCTGCCAGTGCTGTCGCAGTCCCTGCCACAGCCACTTTCTGCATCCAGAGACACACAGAGAGCTCTGTGCTCAGCTCCACAGCAGCCACGCAGGAGGAAGACACGCCAGGGAAGGCAGGCTTGCGGGCTAAGTGTGATCCTGGCTCTGGCATCCACTGACTACAAGATTTTGGGCAAGTCAGTGTGTTGTCTGGCCTGAAATGAGGCCTTTCTTGCAGTGCCGACTGGCTGCCAGGGCACAGCTGCTCCTGGGGTCCCTGAAGAGGGAAGGTGGCAGCAGGGAGGTGGGTGACCTGCAGGGTGATGGCACAGGGAGGATGCTGAGCCCTCGGGGTGCAGCTGGGTGTTACACTACAGAAGCTGCCCAGCTCCGCTCCCTTTCCCCCTCCCGTGCCCACAGTTGCACTGCTCTGTGGGGCAAACTCCCACTGCACCGAGGCTGGGGCAGATCCCTGGCTCTGCTCACCCCGTTGCCCCAGCCACCCTTGCAGGAGGTGGAGAGCCGTGCCCAGCCGTGCCCCGAGTGCCACCCACCCCCCAGCACCCGCGGGGT